CTACATTTCTTATCCCTGAAATTTTTTAAAATGCCTAATCGTATAAAGATTGATTAAGATACTTGGTTGATATGAGAATTAAGTAATTTTTCTCTTCATTCAGTGGCTTCCAAAATTATCATGCTCAATTCCATCAATTTAGGGGAGAGGTGCTGCTTAAAGCATATTTGGAACATAAGAGTCATGTAGTATTTGATAGGATTATTTCCAAAAGATGTGAAGTATAAAACAAAAGAGGCCTTTATTCTGAGAACACGGAGAGAGATAACTTGACACTCCCCGACCTCTGGAGTCCAGTGATCTCTGCACAAGGTGTGTGTGTGTGTGGGGGGGGGGTATATAAGTAGCCTAAGCTTCCGGTAGTGCCCCAGGGCCATTAGAGATGCACAGGTATTTCATTGGCACACGTTTGGCGCCAGGGGCAGATTCCTAAGTGTGGGGGGAGATAGAGTCACAGGTAAATCTCTAGGGGAGGGGAAGGTTCCGGTTGAGGCTTTCCTGGCTACAGTGCCCATCTGGGCCAAAACCCTTTCAGTACGTATTCATAAAACAGCTACAGCTCTCCTACAAATTCATCAGGGCAGCCATATATAAATGTAAAATATTAATAATACGTACCAAAGACAAAAATGCAATTTTTGTTTTATATTTAGTTTTCTATTTATCCTCTTCTTTTTTATCATTTACTGTAATTCTTAGTCCATTTCTGCTTTTCTCTGATTTTTATTTTTATTAGTGTATATTTTGCAGAATATAATGATTACACTAATTATGAGCAGATGATACATGTATATAACACATCCTAATTCTTTTTATTTTTGCTGCTTTGATTCCCTTCTTCCTCTCTTTTTATATTTTCCCCTTCTTCTCTTTTGAGCTCTCAGCTTTTCCTCTAATTTTCTTTCTTTCCCATATGTTAGTCCTACAGGTTTGAATTGGCAAACAGTAAACCCAAATATGAGTGAGCAAAGAGTATATTATTAAGTTGTTCGGTCTCTTAAAGTCTTTAGCAGCACAAAAATAAATCAAAAGAGCAACAAAGTGAAAAAAAGTATTAATAATCTTACTTGTGTTTTTTCTATACTGTTACAGGGAGTGCTTTTCACAACTGTCGTCTCCAGCTTTTTGATCTTATTAATCTTCCTCATCAGTATACAAGAACATCCTAACTAGTAACACATGCTGTCTCTTACAGTTCCACACATGATCTTTTAGAGCTATGTGGATTCAGGCTTTGGCCCACAGGGCTTCACTAAATCTGCATCTGTCAAGATCACCATTGACCTCCACAGTGGCAAATTCCATGATGGGTTTTCAGTCCTCACTGTAGTTCACTTAGCAGCCCCTGAGGCATCTCTTATGAGCATCACTTGCCTTTATAATGTCTCATTTTTCTTCTCATTCACTGTTGTTCATTCTTAGACTCTGTGGTGGGTCCTTTTTTGACCTGTCCTTTCACTTTGAATCTTCTTTTTTTCTGTTTTGTTCATATATACTCCTTGTCTTAGTGACCTCACCTGGTCTCATGGCTTTAAATATCATCCATAGTTAATAATTCCATAGTTATATTTCCAGCCATCCCTGAGTGCTCAGCTGCCTACTTGATGGCATGAATGGATGTCTAATTGAGATCTCAGTTCTAATACATCAAATTGAACTCTTGACATTTGAAATCTCCCGTGCAAACTATTTTTCCAATAGTCTTTACCTTACTTTTTACTTACTTTTTTAAAAGCAAGTTCTTGTTGCCCAGGTCAAAAATCATGCAATTTTCCAAATTCCACACTGATAATACAGGTTCATTAGCTAAAATTTGATACTATGTCAGTGAGGGCACAGGTTAACATTTCTCAAAAAAAAAAAAAAAAAAATGTAGGCATAGGCAAAAGTTTCCCCACGTTATATGAAAGGGTCTGAAGTTGACATCTCTTCATATATACAAAGTAGGGAGCAAAACACAAAAGCCTAATAAATTTGAAGTATTTTGCTTCTGTAGCCCTAACAACCTGGTTTAAATCTATATCTCATTTTAAATGTCAGTTATAAAAGCATGCTTTCTCTTACATGAGAAATAAAATATAAGAGAGAAAAGCTGTATGAAACAGTTCAAGTATGTCCCCAAATTTGTTTTATATTTTTCATAAATTTTTTTAAAAAGGGAGGGGGAGTTATCCTTTTGCACCAAATAGCAAGACTCTTTAAAGGCAAGGCTACTTTCCTGAAGCATTCAAACTCCTACTCAGAGCATTTGTTCTGCACATTTATGTGGGTACATAGTGAGTGCTAACTGAGTAAATGCATTTCAGTTTCCAAAGTTATCTGGGGCCATGAACATTGCTTAAAGAACCAGATACGGTAGAGGAGCAGGAGCTATCATTCCACTTTTCTGGCTACTTGATCACTATGTGATTCTGTAGAAGCACAAACCACTTTCTACCTTCTATATTAAATAAGAAAGCTCAGCGTAACATCCTCTTTTCTGAATTATTCTAGGGCTTCTTTACCATGACATTTTGCTGTTGTTTCCTTTTACGGCTTTTAATTGCTGGCTCCTCTTACATGAAATGAGGATCTGGGTTGCCTAGGAATTCATCTGCTCATCTTGCATATTTTTTTCTTAAATATGCATACTTCAATGCAATTTTGCTTGCTCCTGCCAACATTTTGACAGACTTTCCTCTCTGCTTTTTTCACTGTCCTCCCATCCCTCCCAGGAGAGATGGGTTATTTTTAAAGTACAAAATCAATAGGCTTTGGGAAGCAGCCAGAGCATGAGGGGTTAGTATGGTTGGGAATAAACTACGAGGGATTGCCGAGAGAAGGGATGGCAAGGACCCATCCTACAGACTGAGAAAGACCGTCTGCAGCTCCCATTGAAGTATTTTGAGCTTTTTCTTTGCACAGACTTTTATGGAGAGGGTTCTTAGCTTGGTTCTTGAGAATTATCTCTGTTGAAGGAAATACAAACTAATGTTGTGAGTTATTTTTTAGGCAAAATCAACTTTGGTCTGAGAATATTGATGACGTCTTAAGTTTCTTGATTTTAGTGCTGTTGTTTAGTTTTTGGTGCCGATGATGCTTTAGCTTAGGGTCTGAATTAAGAACAAAAACAATTTTGTCCAAATCACTATAAAAATGACTCTTGGCTAGAAAAAGCACCACCATCAGGTAAAGGCACCAGCTAATAAGGTCGTGGCAGTGATCACACTCAGACCAAGGTCAGGACTGGAAGGCCAATGCTAGAGGGGGAAAGGGACCGTTTCTTTGACACTGTAGTACTTCACTTAAGAGACTGTAGCTCTCTTTGTTGTTCTCTGTGTGACACCACAAAGACGTCTTCATTTCCAGAGGACATGATCCATGACTCCAGTCCTCTGTCACCTGCTTGTTACAGAAAGCTGAGTATTTGCACATCTTATTGGCTTGGAAGATATTATTTTGTTATTTTTATTTAATATAGGATCTTTTTAAAACTACATTTTCAATCATTTAGTAGTTTTAAGTTTTATTTGATTAACCAATTAAGTAAATGCAGTGATCATCACTAGTCAGGATAATATATTGCACATTAATTATTTTTGGCTTTGCTTTCGATAGGTACGATGCAAGACAGGTCAGCATTTGCTATTTGTCCTCAACTATTTTTGTGTTGCACAGATAGGATCTTGCTCCACAGCTAATCTTGCATCATTAAAATGCCTACCTAGGGAATTCTTTTATTGAAGAAAGTTGGTGGTAGCATTAATTACAAATATGAGTCCATGACCGATTATAGAGAGCAGAATGTCTTCTTAGAAGTGTTTGCCTTCATTACTGCAAGCTCTCAATAGTGACATAAACAACTTTGTCTTGTGCAGATCTAGTTACATCCAGCAACAGAAGGCATAAGCTCTCTGAACAAAAGAACATTTATTTTTACATTCCAAAGCTGATGTTAAGTGATAACATTTTTGCATATCCTAAAAATTTTTATGCAGATTCTATGTAAAGCAAAAAGTGCTTCTACAATAATCTGCTTTGTGAATGGAATTTGTGTACTTGGCTTATGCTGCCTTTTAAATATGCCTATCGAACTTCAGACTAAGAATCCTTAATAGTGTGATAGTACAAACAAAACCAGAGGTTGTTTCACCCACGCACAGCAAGGTTGTTCATCATCTTTAATGGTTGGATTTGTGCCATTTTATCTTAAATACATATATAAAGTTATATATTATATGAAGTTACTGGATTTTGTTTTTTAGGGAATACTATACTCAACTTTTCTAAGGTAAACTGTCAAGTTTGGTTTCTGGTTGATTCACTAAACGTGTGATCAATGAACCCTAAGCTGACATTAGGAAAAAAACCCTACAAATTAATATTTTTTCCATATTACTGTGCCATTATTTTTTAAAATAAAATTGTTATATTCCTTTATAAAAATGAAACAAAACTAAAAACAATGGTTTATGAATATGAAATTGAGAATGAGCGGAAGTATTATCTTATCTTGGACCCACAGGTGAGTCACATACTGGGAAATTTAGGCTATCTCAATACAATATCTGTAGAAATAATCAAAATAGGAAAATTCAGATTTTGATAAAATTGGTTAGAATGAATTATTCTCTATTTTTAAGTAGTTAATTTGGTTATAACAACCTAATTGGTTTGGGCATGTGGGTATAGTTTTACTAACACTTTAATTTCTCATAAAATGAAATGACCAACAAACCCCAGTATCCTGATTGTAAAACAGAGTTTATTGCCATTGAAGTTATTTTGAATTAAGTTGATCGGCTTATAGCTAATCTGCAAATCTCCAAAGGCAGTGAAACAGAGAAATCTTTACGCTGTATTTGTAGAAGGTGCTGTGGTTGTGTATCATTAATAAATAATGTTCATTTTGATAAATTTATTGAAAAATGTTTTTAATAGCTGCACAAAAACATTTATGATGAAGGTAGCAATTATATGGATGTTTAAATAATTGCTATTTTTTTTTCTTTCTTCAACAGTGCAAATCCAAGTGGAAGAAAAAGAAGATGATACTGAGGAAAGCTCAAGTAAGCAGGGGTGTGCCCACGCAGGACATATTTTACGTGGACAGCAGTGCATGCAGGGAATTCTGTCACTTGAAGGCTTTGCCTGTGTAGGAGCCAGGAGCGAACCACACATAGGCACAGGACCGTGTGTGGCTGCCTTTGAATGTTCTTACAAGAGAGCCCAAGTTCTACCAGTAGAACCCTTACCCTAGGTTCTATTCAATCCACACACACATGCATTCACTCGTTTATGAGTTGTCACTAACCACTAGTGATGGTCCACAGCAGTTGGCTTTTTCATTTCTTTTCTCCTTTTTCCCTGGGAAAACCTTTCGCTCTAAAAAAATTTTCTTTAAGACTAAATCTATTATGTTGCCTGAACTGACCAGGTGGCTCAGTTAAACTAGAAGCATCTGTCTCTTTGGTCCACATGTATGAGCATTTTGTCTGAATTGCTCTGGGGTTTTTTACTTCGTGTAGGCACAGTTCACCAGCAGGAAGTATGAGCTCTTCCTGGGCACCCAGACCACCCAGAGATGGGAGCATGAGAGAGACCATGGTAGAAGTAAAAGCTTTGATTTTCCCAAAAATGAAAGGAAGAGCAGCATCTAAAGAAGTGTCCACTTAGGGGAACACCTATATTATCAATTTAATACTCAGAGTGCTGTGTGGCAGCCGGTCAGTGCAGACAATGCCCATTGTCTCTATGCTGCGTCTCCCAAGTGAAAGCAGCCCAGCGCCTTGCATAGTTCTTTGTGCTATGACTTGAATAGAAAATTGAATCCACCCCAAAAGACAGTACGGTGCCCAAGTTTGGGTTTAGTAGCTGACCACAAAATACTGTTTAGAATTTGAACATTTGTAAAGGAGACCGAGTTTTAAAGATGGCTTTTGTTTCTAAACGATAACAATTTTAATGACACTCATCTCATTCGTGGTAAAGCAGTGCAATGGCTTTAATAGTTTAGTCTTTTCCTTTTAAAGAATTCAAGCAAGATTTTGTCAAGACACCCCTCCTACATTCAGAATTTCCCTTTAGAAATTTATAAAAGCTAGTGTAAAATTTAACTGCACTGTGTTTGAGGTAATGTCAACCTTCTTGTATGATGCCAGCACTGTAGAAGTTGTGGCACCTATTGGTGACCCAGAGTCTGATTGTTCTGGTGAGTGTTTAATAGATCCTGAATGTGCGCTCTGCGTTTGTTAGGCACTGTGTCCTATAAATGCTGATTAGGGCAAACTGGCTGATTACATTTTCAATATCTTCACTTCTTTTTGGGATAAGAACATATAGGTTAAGACCTATCCTCTTAAACATGTTCCATATGTTATATTACAGAGTAATAAGCAACTGATGCTAGGTTCCCAGTGGCCACCAAAGTCTTCAGTTACTCAGCTTCCTTAAATAAAATGCTGTAGTATTTTCATAAAACTGCGTAATTCCTCCTACTTTAAGTCTTCTTTGCATTACTTGTACTATTTAATGCAATGCAGATATCCTGAAAACAGTTGTTAAGGTATATTACTTATGGAATAATGATAAGAGAAAAAGTCTTGCTCAGGAAGGACACAATTTCCCCCGAATATTTTTAATCTGAGATTTATTGAACCCATGGATGTAAGGTCAAGGACACAGATGACTGACTCTAAGCTGTTTTTCTTGGGTAATTACAATTATGTGTTCATTTTAAATGAATGTCTCATTCAGAAATTTCCTGTTTCCCCCTCTCTTCCTGGGCTCTGGAAACACATTTCTGCTTCTATGTTTCAATAGTTTTGTTTGTTTAGACCAGATCTCACTATGTAGTTTAGGTTGGCCTAGAACTCACTATGTAGCCCAGGCTGACCTTGAAATCCTAGAGATCCTCTTGCCTCAGTTTGCCAAATGCTGGGATTACAGGTGTGCACTATTATGCCTTTGTTTGAATAATTTAATACTTCATATAAGTACATAATTTGCCCTTCTATTACTGATTTATTTCACTTTATATCCTCAATGTTCATTCATACTGTCATATATGGCAAAAGTTCACGTATCTTCAAGGCTGGGTCTTTCATTGTTCGTATATTCCATATTTTCTTTACCCATTCAACTGTTGCTGGACATTTAGGTTGTTTCTATATCTTGGCCATTTTAAATAGTACTGCAACGAAAGTGACAATGTCTCTTCAGTATCCCAGTATCCATTCTTTTGGATACGTGTCTGAGACTGGAATTGTCTGAATCACATGGTACTTCTGTTTTTCATTTTTTGAAAAACTATTGTCGTGTTTTCCCTAGTGACTGCTCAGTCTGAGGTTCCCCCCAGCACTAAATGAGGGCTCCAATTGTGCACCACCCTTGGCATTCCTTGTTGTATTTTTGACAGTAGTCATCAAACGAGTATGAGCTAAGGTCTCACTGTGGTTTTGATTTCTTTTTCTTTCTTTTTTTTTTATATCGGTACTGGGGATCGAACTCACGACCACCTGCTTGCAAGTCAGGTGCTTATGCCGCTAAGCTAAATCCCTAACCCTGTGGTTTTGATTTCCATTTCCCGAATGATGAGTTAGACTGGGCACATCTTCACACACCTGTTGGTCAAATGTATGTTTTTAGAAAATATTCCATTCAAGAACTCTTATCCTTAAAAAAACACTATTTTTAAAAATGTGCTATTACTTTTATGTCTATTTTGCTACTTAATTTCAGAGTTGTGTGAGTATTTAGGACATCAATCCCTTGCCAGCTCTCTGGTTTACAGATCTTTAACCTCATTGTGTAGGTTGTCTTTTCACTATGCTGATCCTTCCCTTTGCCGTACAGAAGCCTTTTTCAGTCTGCTGAGGTCTCAGTTATCTGTCTTCATTTTTATGATGTTTCCAGGTTTATTATTCTTTTTTTTCCAGTATGAATGTTGAACCCATGATCTTTTTACTGAGCTATATTCTCTGCCATTTTTTATTTTTTACTTTGGGACACAGTTTTGCTAAATGACTAAGTTGCCCAGGCTGAAATTCAATATGTGATCCTCCTGCTTCAGCATCTCAGAGTGCTCAGATTATAGAAGTGTGACACCACACCCAGATTTTCTTATTTTTTATTGAGAGTATTTGTCTCCTTGGAATCTGTTGTCATTTGATAAGAACTTTAGGATTCTTTTTTCCATTTCACTAAATAGTGCCCTTGAGAATTTGATTGGGTTGTGTGGAGTCTTCGAGTATTTTTATTTTTAATAATATTAAATCTTATAACCCATAAATATTCTATGTGATTATGATATATTTCCATTTATTTGTGTCATCTTAAATTTATTTCCTCATCATTTTTAAATTTTCAGTTTGTAAGTACTTCATCTCATTGGTTAAGTTTATTACTAAACATTTTATTCTCTTTCCTTCATTGTAAATTGAATTGCTGTATTAACTTCATTTTCATATTACATATTTTTGGTTTATAAAAATGCAACCGGCTCTTTTATATTGATTGTTGTATTCTCCAGTTTTCCTGAATGATTTATTCTAATAGGATTTTTGTGGATAAGTCAGGGCTTTCTACATACAAATTCATGTCATTTACAAACTGGTATTTTATTTTTAACTTTTTCTTCCTTGCCTAATTGCTCTGGCTAGAATTTTCAGTACTATGTTAAAAGAATGAGTAGGTATCTTTGCCTAACCTCCTATTCCTCCACAAAAAGTTTTTAGTTTTGTTTTTCACTGTTAAATATATTTTTAATTTTCTCATAGGGTTTTTTGTAAGTTGAGTAATTTTCTTCTATCCTTAGTTTGTTGAAAGATTTTATGTGAAAATGTGTTCAGTTTTCTTGTATATTTTTTTTTGCATCTATTCATGTGATACTGATATAATCATATGAGATTTTGTACTTTATTCTGTTAATGTAGTGTGTCACATTATTTGACTTCTGTGTGTAAACTAACCTTGCATTCCTAGGAATGTACTAACCCACTCCCTGCCCTAGTCATGGTCTGTAATTGTTTTAACATGCTATGATACTAAACTCTGAGTCATCTATTTGTGCAAATAAATGGAGACAGAATTGTAAGGATTAATAAAAAAATTAGGAGTTCCTATTCACATAATGGAGTAGATAAACCACAAAGAAAATGAAAATCTAAATCATTTATTCAAGTGATAACCAATAGTGTCTATGTAATTGTGTCACTTACTGTGCTTTTCTCTGACATTCCTCACTGAATCGTTGACTGCTGTGTGTAGGTGAAGAAGAAGATAAACTACCCAGGAGAGAAAGCCTGAGACCGAAGAGGAAGCGGACCAGAGATGTTATCAAGGAGGACGACCCAGAACCTGAGCCGGAGGATGAAGAGACAAGAAAAGCAAGAGAAAAAGAAAGGAGGCGGCGGCTGAGAAGAGGAGCGTAAGTCAGTTCTGATACATACCTACCGGAAAGCTTGTGTATTCCAATTTCCTGACCCCGAGGGAAGAGCACTCACTTTAGGTGCTTGTTGACTTAAACATCAGTAATTAAAGCCAATCTCAGAAAGACCGGTTTTCCCTGAACTACCATTTTATTGCACTCACTTATACTTTGATAACTGAAAGGGAATTTAAACATGAATATAAATAAAAATGGACTCTGAGAGATTCCCTTGTGCAAGATGTAAATTGACATGAACCATTCAAATGTTATAGTTGATTTAACTATTTGGAAATTATCTTGTTAATTGTGTACACTGTTACAGAAGGAAAGGAGAAAAGTTTGAAAGAGTGGACCTAGGTTATTTCACTAGTCCAGGAGAGAGAAATGGATTTTATAGCTTTAGAGGGTTATTCACAAAACAAAGAAGAATGTGAGACAGAGTTGTATGTAGTACTCAAATCCTAAAATATTAACTAGCCATTTTAATCTTTAGAACCATGCATTGGTCTCTGTTATAAAGGAGGAATTATTCCATTTCTAGCATAGTCCTCTATCTTTCAGCTCAATATTTTATTGAGTGATTACTTTGTGTATGATACTATGTTAAGTGTTACTTAGCAAAAATCCAAGAAGAAAATCTCAGAGCTTTGAAAATTTGTGGGTGACAGGAGAAAAAGATACAGCCATGAGACACACCTAGGAACAGAAAATCTAGCTTTTCTGCTGTTGGAAGGTAACAGGGCTATGTGAATCCCCAAAAGGAGGCGAAAGTCAAACGTCTCTCAGTCTTTAAATGGTGAAGAACTTTCTCGAATGTTCTTCCAAGATGACACACTCCAGAACTCAGTAGTTTGATTATATTGCTCTTCTTTATTTTTCTTTCTTTTTTTTTTTTTTTATTGGTACCGAGCATCAAACTCAAGACCAAGTGCTTGCAAGGCAGGCGCTTATGCAGCTGAGCTAAATCCCCAGCCCCTATATATTGCTCTTCTTTATAAAAATTGTTATTAGAAGCAAGCAGATAAAAAGTTTGTCAGGTAGAGATTAGCTTTAATAGATGACGTTCTTTTTGAAGTAAAAGTATTATGCATGTTAATTTAAATTTTAAGTCTTATAAGGTAAATAAATAAATCCGATGTTGGGAAAATGGAAAGGGAATGGAAGGAGAGGCGAAAACGAAGGGATTTGAAATGTGTTATGTATATACACTAATCCTCAACTGTGAAATGTAATCATTTTGTATGAGGACATATACTAAGAACCCATATATATATATAATATACAGATTTTCCTTGTCTTCTTCCTTCTCCTTCTATTCTTTTGCTTCTTCCTTCTCAAGGTCCATCTCTGTCTTCATCGACTACTAAGACATCACTTGCTTTGAATTTTGACTCGGATTCTTTTTATACTTGTACTTTTTCAAGAAACTCTTTCCATGCAAAAGTGACATATAGCACAGTTTTAAATCCGATTTAATGTTCTGATTATTAGTGCTATTCTTTTCATAAGAGTCATAAAAGGATTTATTAGGAAGAAATTTAAAATATATGCTCAAAGAAACAGAGAGCAAGCCCTTGAGGGAAAGAGGCATGCTGCAGTTTGGAGGCAGGAATATTTATGTTTTGGTTATGGAACTTATGAAATTGTAAGAAGTTGTGTCTTGGTTTACAGACTTATCCATAGAAAGATAATGGCCCATATTACAGGCGAGAGACATAAATGTCACTAAATTATTTTTGGTAGATAATCTAATATATTTTGCATAAAAATATTTTTGAGTGTTCTCAAGTTGTTTTAAAATCAGATTTCTGGCCTTTATTTTTATCAACTAAAAGTGTTTTTAAAGGATTTTGTGTGTGACGGGGCTAGGAGAAAAGAAGTATAAACAAATCTAGGGAGTACTGATGTGGCTAATTGTGGATGATTGCAGTTGTAATATTTTTAAAAGTACACTTATTGTTAGTTAAAATTTTCTTTGTTTGATTTCTACCTTTTTTTCCCCTACCCAACCTAAGATTCTTCTTTCGAGTTTAACTCCCCTTCTCCCCTTTTTAGACTGAAATGTTTAGGTTAATGTCTCAGACAATTTCTGCTGCACCGACAAAACATTTGAAACCAACTAAAGCGAAGATTGCATTGATAACTGTGTCTTTGCATGCAGTTAAAAAAGACACTGTTAACAATTTGGAGTGTTTTCTAATAATATTACATACTTTTCTTGATCCAGTTTTAAATGAATAAGTAATGTATTTATAGTAATGAGTAATGAGGAGTTCAGCGTATTATGCTTTGTTTTTTCTGTCATTTAATCAAATTTAAAATAGAAAGTCTTGCACAGATTAGCCCTTAATTTTACAAGATGAAACATATGTTCATCTATCTTTTAAATATAATTAATTTTTCCTTGAAGTTGTTCTGAGAAAAGCAGTTTCTCTAATGTTTTTGAGATTAATGTTTCAATTGCATGCATATTTGAAGGTAAATTGTCCATTTTGCATTGGAAGATAGAGGATCCTCCTGGGAGAAATCAATAATTATTTTAAAAATATAGTATTTTCACGGATGAGGATATAGATTAGTGGTTGAGAACTTGCCAAGCATATATAAGGCCCAGGCTTAATCCAATACTGCCAATGAAATAAAACAAAACATACACTCACACACGCACACGCACACACACACACACACACACACACACACACACACACAGCCAAAAAAGAAAAACAAAACCAAGAACAAGAACAGTAACAAGAACAAAAACAGAACAAAACAGAATGAAGTGTGTAATCAGTGTTGGGAAATTTTCTAGCAGTGCTTTTCAAAAGTTGACTTGCAGAGCAGTGAACTTCGGCACCATGGTTAACCCACACAATGGAACAGCTCATTCATTCTTCCTTTGTGGCACTAAATTAAATGAGATTTTAATTTAGATACAATCTTTAATGGAAGCTCCAGAATGTAAATCTTCAAGGAGCTGACATACAGGTATCTCAAATTATTTTAGTTATGAAAGTTAATGTCTTAAAATATCAAATCATTGAATTATTAAAGTTTGAAAAAAATCTTTCTAATTCACTCCACTTTCTGGATAGTCTTTGGATCTGTTTTCTTTGTTTACTAGTTCTCTTTTACTGTTTTCAATAATGCAGTCATCTTTACAGTTTGGATTTGTGTCTGCAGGTTCCTAGAAACAATCTCAATTATTTTGATTGAAATGTATTTTTCTTTCCTTTGACAAATAAGCATACGTAAGATTTCAGATTAGCAAATTAAAAAGAAGCAAGCTGTGACTATAGATGTAATAAGAAAAATCTCAAGTATCTCATACCATGATTATATAGCAATGTAAGATTTTATATAATAAACACCAAATAAACAAATCAGAAATTACTCTTTGATAGATTCTATCTTATATACTCCATGGTTTTCTTGAACAAGGATTACTGTATTAGATACAATATTTAAACTGTTCAAAATACAAACTGTCATTAGAAGATGCTATTTTATAGAAGGTTAACCTAACATTTTGTTTCAGTAATGGGATGATTAAAATCTTTGGTTTGGTAGCAAATGAAAGAGCTATATTCCAGGGCAGATAGTAAAACTACAGGTGTGTCCTTTTATGTCTAATCATTTAGGCAGCTTTAGCATGTATCTCCTTGCACTGGGTCATGAGCTTAGTGAACAATAAAATCTGTTTTTGAATAACATTGAATAGTTAGGACCTACTGAGGAGAAAAACTTCAAGAGCCAATTGAACAGAAAGAATTTAACAGAAGAATGCTTAGGAGTTACGAATAAAATAGCTGCTAATTAGGCTTCTGACAGGTAAAATGATAGCTAAATTGTGATAATAATATCTTTAGTAAGCAGCTACCATTCACAGGCGGAGTGTAAAGAAGAAACCAGAAGCTGAAATTGAGAGGCGCTGTTTATGGGGAAGCGGAGAGGAAGTTGTTTATGGTCGTGCTGTAGGACTAGTAGAGTAGACTCACATGAAGCTATGAGGGCCCAACAGATCCTGCAGTGAACAAATGCTGCTAAAGAGGAAGTGTCTCCCCCACCCCAAGCAAACAGGAAACAGCAGGAAGACAAGAAGAAGGTATAAAGTACAGCGAAGACTGAGTTTCGTCTTAGTAACCCCTATTGTCTAAATATAAAATTGATCCAGCAAATAAAGCAAAACTGTGACCTATGCAATTCCAGCTCCAACACCAAATATATTAAGCATAAAATGGTGTTTGGAACTACGGCAGCAGCTTAAAAACAGAAACAAGTTATTATTTAAAAAAATCAACTTCTGTAATATAGTATTTTACTTTTCCATTGAAAATCATGCTGCTCAAGGTTTAACTTTTTGTTGTTGTTCTGAACCTTATACTATTTTTTTTAATACTAGGAACACAGAAAAATACATTTCATCTGCTCAGGGATAAACTAAATTCCTTTGAAAGTCTCTTCAAAGAATTTACTTCCACACAAATGTATTTCAACTTGAAATTTATCAGTTGATGCTTTGTGTTTAATTAACAGATTAGATTACCTCTGAGAGATAGATTATAATTTTTTCCTGTTTCAGTTTTTTCCATATCCTCTTGAGACAAGGCTAATTTAAAATCTTTAAGGGTACTTCAAAGACATCTTAGCCTCTAGTTATTAGTATTATTGAAAAATAAGGCTTCTAAATGAAATGTAGAATTGGGAGGGGAAGATGCACGAGGGAACCAAGAGGTGAAAGAAATATCTTGATGGATCTGTGACTATTTTTTCCTGTAAATATTGTGATTGATTCATGGTGTTAACCTGAGAAGTTTAGAAATTAAACTAAGTGATCTGTCCCTGAGAATCACGTTGTGTGCCTCTCCCCAACTTTGTAAATGTCCTTATCCTGTACAAGAGGAGAACAAAGAGATGGTATGAGTGTTACATCTGCCTAGGGCAGGTAGCCTACAGTATAAGGGAGGAAGAGAGTCTTGCTCTTCTCTCCTTTTGCTTTTACTGCTTTTGCTGTCTTCTGCTGCCTTGAATTGTTGCCCTTCACCAGGCCATCTTGCCTTGGAGCCGGTATAGACTGAAACTTCCACAAACTGTGACCTCAATAAACCTTACTTCCTTTGACTTTGATGTTGAGTATTTTGTCTCAGCAATGAGAGAAAGGTAATTGAGACAGAAATCATTATTGTTTAAAGAGTGATAGTTCCAATAGTCCTGAATCAGTATTCAGAGATGGGCACCAGTGCTTATGAGTCTTACCATTGACTATATCCAACCAAATTTAAAACAAAGGAAGAACAGTGTCTCATATTAATCTTTCTTAAGTCTGAAAGTCAAGCAGAAGCTAATCCTTTGTATTGCTTTTTTTTTCTTTTAAAGAGAAGAAGAGGAAGAGATTGATGAAGAGGAACTGGAGAGACTGAAGGCAGAATTAGATGAGAAAAGACAAATGATTGCTACTGTTAAGTGCAAACCTTGGAAGATGGAGAAGAAAATTGAAGTCCTCAAGTACGTTCCACTGTACATATGTATAGGTACTTTTCCTGATTCTGATTTCTTACATCCTTGCAGCGTGACCTTTATTTTAGATTTTGTGTATGTAGCACATATATAAAATACTCATTATAGTGTACAATGCTCATAGTCATACACAGGTATATATTATATATGTATACACACATATATGTATCTGTCTATGCCTCATAGCTATTAGACAGACTGGGCTGATGATTATAAATCAGAAAAAAAATTTGGAGTAAATTCGTTCATTTTTTAGGGTCTCGTAATCTCTGTGGTCAGCTTAATAATCACTGTTCTTTAATTTGGAGTTTTCCTAGTTTGTTATTTTGATTACTACCTATCTGAAAATGATACTGTATTTGAATTTTATAGGTTTATGCAGCTGCACACTCTTATTTTTCTGCAGGGTCCTAGACTTAAACCATCTTTTCATGTGACAGCTGTCATGATAGCAGAGGAAGGATGCTAAGCCAAAAGAACAGCAAACAGGGCTGCAGTTAGGATTCTGTCAGTCACTGTTCCCTGATAACATGTCAGTAACACAATTTCAGTCTGATATGAGCTGCTGAAGACAAAGATTTATAAATGTCCTATATGAAAAATCAAATGGTTATCCATTTTTGGGAGACAGAGCAGGTCAATCCCTGAGAATCATATTACGTCTCCTTGCCCCGATGATGAGAGAGAAGGGATGTGCAGGGCGTGTCACTGTTGCTAGCTACACTTGTATCTCTTAATTTTGCCACCAATATCATTTTCCTTCAGATGATTTTTATAAACAGTGATGTTTCCAAAACTGCCTTCCTCCAATATTCCACTAATAATGCTATTAAAATGATAATTCAGAATCATTGTCTCTAGTAATGAATAAATACTGAAATAGCTATTAGGATAATTCACTTCTAATTTTACTCTGCAAGAGCTTGCATATTATTTAAGGAAATCATTTAAAATCTTGGAACCTCAATTGTCTTATATCCAATAATAAATAAGTAAATAAAAGAGAGATATTCTAGATCCACTCTCTGTTCTGAGATCTAGCCATCAGTTTTAGTATTATAGCTTTGTTTTGCTCTATGAGGAAAGGTTTTCTAAGTTCCACAGTGGCCTTCCTAACAGGCCATTTCACAACATCATGTGATTGTTGTCTGGGAATTCCCTGTGCGTGTGCAGGCAAACATCCACCGTGAATGGCAGTGCCAAGCAGAACTCCTTGTTCCCTGCAGCTGCTAATTTTAGTGTTTCTGTGTATGTGTGTGTCTGTGTCTGTGTCTATGCCTGTACTTGTGCGTGTGTCTGTATACCAAAACACTTCACACTTAATGAGATCATGATGATGCTAACTTGGAGGCTTAGAAGTCTGCTAACTTCTAAAAATAGAAAAATGGCAGCTCTATTCCAATCCCTAAAACACAGTTTAAAATATTAAACGGCATCTAAAACCTGGGAACCATAGGTATATAGAAAGTTATGAAGCTGCAAAATAGTAATACTGTGAGGTTTTGAAGCATAGAATTTGTGGAAGAATGCTGAAGAGCATCTCTCTTTCTACCTACATGAAGGTGTAGAAATATCCCATTGCCTCCTTGCCTGATTCTCCCATGTAGAACAGTGGGTCAGAAGGAGGCTTCAAACTTGAGTTTTAATCTTAGCTTATCCATTTATTGGCTGTGAATGAGATGCGTGATCCCTCTGACCACAAGGTCCTTATGAAATGTGTTTGTTTGTAGAGTGATTAGAATCATACGTCAAGTTAATTCATCTGAAACACTTTGCATGATGTCAGAACATAGCATACAGCTGAAGTACACAATGGTAATTATTATTTCATCTGAGAGTAGACCTTACTATAATGCAACAGGAGAGATGGAGAGATTTGGTGCCTGATCTAACCACAGGGAGACCGCAAGGACCTTGGACAATGATGACACATTAATCATTAATTAATGATCAGATTTTGAGTTTTCAACACAAGGAAGTAGACAGTACTTTGACAATGGCAAAACCCAGGGCTAGACCACCCTTGGAGCTTCCAAAATGTATCCCCAGGGGAGCCTCATGGTGGGCTCTGAGGCCTGGGAGCTTGGGCTGGATTCTAAGAGCTGGGAATTTTTAGAAGTATAGAGGAATAAGAATTGCTGAGTGACACTTTGTTCTAGTTTTAGGACAGAGGCTGAAAACAGAAGTCAGAGGCTAACTCTAGAACATAGGTTACTTTTATTTGGCCCACATTTTTTTCAAAATTATTTTTTATTGTGGTAAAGCTTGCATTAGCAAAATTTAAATTTTTTAAAATGATAATTTTATGTTTACTTTTTAAAAAGTGAGTTATTTTACACTTAAAAATATTCAGGTGCTCAGCTTCTTATGGAAAAGTGAAAGATTGGTCTCACATTTCTACATGATAAAAAGCCACTGGGACTAAGCAAGACCTGCCCCCTCTAAAAGGGCAGTCACTCTTCACTGGGCATGGTTCCTAGGGAACTGGTTTCACTTACTTCTTCTACTTGGCTGAACCTTGCAGGCGATTAGATTTGCTGTCTCCCCCTGGGGCAGCTGAGGAAAAAGTCAGCATGTGACCAAGACAGCCAGCAATTCATGACAACAAAGCCAAGGTTGGTTTGCAGAATGGAAGCACAAACTCAGGCCCAGAGAAGAAGCAAGTGTTCTGCTCACTTTCAGTGTGGCTGAGATGATGATTCTTGTGATGATTCCTCCCAGCGCAAAGTGATTTCTGCTTTGTAGCTTCCTGCCTCTCTGCACAACTGGTTCCAACATTTGTGGCCATTCTGATTTTCTTGGTTTCAGACTGTAGGGTGAAGCTGTTGGTCCTAAAGTGCTCAATCTGCCTCCCTTTGAAGGTTGTTGAATGCTTACATTGAGCTTGCCCCTGTGGATTCTAATCACATTGTAAGAGCAGTGGTCTTTACTTCTTAGAGAAGATTCTTCTCACCTGGTGTTCACACATATAGCTAACCAGAATTTTCTCCATCCCTCAGAGAAACCTACTCTGAGAGAGTGTTTCTAAGGATTATAGTATGCACAGAATTAGCTTCCAATCTTGACTCCTGCCGACTCTAGGAAATCCCTGACATGAGGCTAAATATCAGAGACATTTGCTTAGGATTCAAAAGTTTGGATTCACTTCTGAGTTTCAAGGTTTCCTTCCTCTGGCTGTGCACTCTGAAGAAACCCGTGAAACTTCTAACACAGACTTTAGACAGAGTTAGAGTTTCCAAGCATGCTAGAGTAAAGCCTCAGTAATAGCAGTGTGTACAGTTCTGTGCCTACGAAGATCCAGGGACTGGCCCACATTTTGGAGTGTGATCATCCTCTGGATTAAAGTGGAAATATGGGTGATTGAAACAATTTCTCCCTGGTCAAGAAGCTCAAGAAAATAAAAGACATTTTCAAGAAGTAAAATCGGCTCTCTGGAAATGGGAAGAAGCCACTCCTTTCTATTATTACTGTGAATCACTGATTTTTGCTGTAAGATTCCACTTAAGGAGCCTCAAATCTAGTAAAAACCTTTTGTTAAAGGGTCAGGTATGGTTGGCCCCAAACTGGAACTGGTGTTTTTAATTTTTCCCTTTCAGAGTCTCAATGTCAGGATTCAGAGTCTCTATCTTCAACTCTGAGAAACAGAAAACGCCGTTAAGTAGGATATCTTGCTCTGTGGACAGTTTACTAACTGAGTGACAATATGCATCTTTTGAGGAGGAGAGAAAGGAAAATAGTGTTGCAACTTCCATTTATCTAAATGTCAGCTGCTGTTTTAAAAATATCCATCCATGAGAATGTCACGTGAATTCCGTTTTAAAGTTTAAAGTTGTTGATAGAAACTGGTGAGTAGATCTTTCGTACCTGTAGAAAGTGCCAGCACTGAGTTGGTAGCAGCTACTGCAGGTGAAATAAAACACTGGGGTGGAAAGTAACTGGTCTCCTCTACTCATTCTGTAACCTGAAGCTTTAACCACGTCAGAACATTAGGTGTGGCAGAGTGAAAGTCCTTATGATTAAACCTAAATAACCAACCACATTCCTTTTAGCAGTATAGATTTTGACCTGCAAATTAAGACACTGGGCTTTTATCATGTTCATGTTCAACATTACCTTTTGAGACTTATTTCCTAATAAAGCAAAGAGGTCAGATTGTGGCCCATGTGAAAACTGCTGTCCTCAGAGTTAGAGCAACTTGGTAAAATCAGCTCAGGGCAGGAGAGACAGAGCTAAGAGAGGAGACTGCTTGGTCACAGCCAGTCTTGATCAGAGCAGATCCACCCTAACTTTATGTAACGTAATTCACATAAAGCATCTATCTGAAGAAAGAATACTTCCCTGGCTGTAAAATAAAGAACAGGTAAAAACCGACAATATTTAGATGGGTATTTAGAACTGCTTCTTTTGAAGAGGGAAAAAATTTTCACATATCATGAATCCACAAATTAGGGTACAAGAATTCTCCAAGTATACTTTTTCATGGATTTGAATCTTGGGCAGATTAGTTAAAATTACTTATTTTATAACAAAGAGATTTATTCAGTTTTTATATTGAACACTTAATGTCTGAGCTTCGTTGCATCTGGATCTAGTGTTTCTGGGAGTTGTCCATTGACTGACTATCGCTGGTGATTTATTAATGACGTACTCAGCAAAGCCAAGACAGTTATCCGTAGGCTTTGCTTACACTTAAATGGGTGCTGGAAGCTGTCAGCTCACCATTAAGGTAGTATTTACTCCTTACTTGGTTTCCTTTCATCCCACTGTACTTCTTTGGTTTGCTTTTTAAGTTTAATTTTGTTTCATTTTTTGATTGAGGGAAATAATGAAAAAGTGAGAACAGGATGCTGGAGTCATCCTGGTGAAAATGGTTTCTTGGACTCAAGTCCTTACCCCTTCTTCTCTAGCTTTTTTGTAGCTTAAGGTCTCCATGAGCAATAATCATGTGTATACTAAGTTTGCAAAGCCCTCTGTGAAACAATGAGAGA